TTTGGTATGATATTTCTATCCTAATTCTATCTTGTGATCACTATCATGCAAAACATAAAATATCATAAGCAAGATTCCAATCATGACAATCTTGATGCAAACCACTCAAGGTTTCACTGATTAATTCAATCTGAAGTTTGATTCATAGGATTTTGAGAATACAAGATTGTGATCTGGGTTATTATCAAACTTCTCAAACCATATGCGATATGTGTATATTAATAATTTTGGGTTATGTTCTCAAATTTGTTATAATGGAATATAATATAGAATAAAATTATATTTAGTATTTTAGAGATGCATGAGGGTGTCACATTTTATTTAAGAGATTAATTCAAACTTTAATAGAGCCTCAGTCCATGTTTAAGAAGCGGAATTAGACTCTTGGCAGCAACGCTAAGCACCAAAGCGCAGCCTCACCTCCGGTGTTCACATTGCTTAATTAGGTCCTCGGTGATTAGAAGTAGTTCTGGACCCCTTTCGCACTCAAAATCTTATTCGCAATCAGTATCCTTTTCACAATCAGGACCCGGACCCAGACCCGGCTTGGAACTTAGACCAACTTCGAAATAGGAACTCATCTCGGACAGTGAACTCAGATTCGTATCATCTACTATCCAAGTGAGATTTTGATTTACATTTGATCATGTATCCTATTTGTGGTTTAAAAATGGAGAACGTGTGGCATGTTATCTTTAGATGTGTCATTGACTCATTGTGGTATTTAGATGAAACATCTCTTTATATTAGATCAACATTCTTTAGGTATGTTCAACAACACACAAATCTTTAAAAAAAAAAAATGTCCTTGTTTTTGTTATAAAGTTTTCAACTATTTGGATTATCAATAAGTTTTATTGTTAAAGTCTCTTAACTTACATTTTCAACAACACCAAACACCACCATTGTTTCTTAAAAACACACAATTGAGAATTTGAGATCCGTTTGTTTCGTGGACCAACTAGGCAACTACCAAAGCCAGTCACTTAGAAACTTGACGTTAATTTGTTAGTAATTATTTACGTAAACAAAAACGGGGGTGTAGCTCATATGGTAGAGCGCTTGCTTCGCATCCGAGAGGCACGGGGTTCGATTCCCCGCACCTCCATTTTTATCCGTAATTTGTCACTTTCAAGCACCAAACATATGACTCGTAATCCATAACGAGTTTATTTTTTGATGCTTAAAATTAAAAAAATTAACAAAAGTGATTATATTTTTTAGGCCATTAACTCATTATAAAAAATAATAATACAACAATTCGTCGTCATACTAAAAGTTGGTCAAAATGTACAAGTGACAAAGAAGATGGTACAAACTACAAAGTGCAAATAATACGTGTAAATGTTGAAAGGAAAGAGAAAGACCCATCGGTTGGCTTTTTGTGGTCCACTTGGGCTCGAACCACGAACCTAAACCTAACCCTTGTTGTGGTCCACTTGGCTCGAAACGAGCCTAAACCTAACCCTTGGTGTCGTTATTCATCCACTTGTCTACTGTATACCTTAGTTTTTGTTTTTGGGTTTAATGATAATAATAATAATAATAAACGTGATTATTATTATATGTTTTTCAGTTCCAATAATTTTTTTTATTAAATTTATATTTTCAAAATCATATCTGTTATATATTTATTTTCAATTTTCAATGCATAAACTATCAAAGATTAAAAAGCTAATAATGTTTTAATATATTGGTCACAAACTTATACTCTTAAGGTATCGGACGTATCAAGTGCACATTTTCTTTCGACTTTGAATGTTAATATTCCTTTTAACAAAAAAGAATTATTCTTATTTTGTTTAATTATTATATACTCTTGATTAAAATTAAATATGTTTTGAAATAATTGATAATATTTTTAAGGTTATTGTTAGAAAATTTTCATTATGTTGTCTTAGTTATGGGAAAGTCTCAACCATTGTTTTTGAACAGAAATGTCTTGATTATCTAATCTTACATGATAATCTGTCATTTTCAATTAAAAAACAAAATAAGAATTTTTTGTTAACTTAAGCAAAATATTAGATAATCAAGATTTTTTTTTGTTTAAAAAATAACACCTTGTTTTTGAGTTTTATAAAAAAAGATAATAAAAAATAAGGAGAGAAAAGAAAAGAAACACAAAAAGAAAAAATTATATTTTGTGTTCGTAAAAAGAATTGAAAAAAGAACTCATTATTTCTTTTCAAATCGTTCCAAATTAAAAAGAAACATTTCATTTTCTTTCGATTCTTTTCATTAAAAAAATATTTCTTTTCATTTTCATTTAATTTTTTTCCATTCCACTTGTTGAACTCACAAACAATGTAAAAAGTTGAAATTTTTTTATAAACTGTGACAAAATAATAAAACTTTAATATGTGTAAAAAAAATAATTAATACAGTCCCATTCCCATTTTTGATATTTAAAAAGGAGTGAGATATTTCTTAAAAGGGAATATAATATAAATATCTTGAGAGATGTCGATTCTAATTTAAATCAAAGAAAAGTATGTATGATTGTTTGGAGTGAAAAAACAAAATTAGGGTGGAAGATCTTCTATTCTAGTGTCCAAATTCGTCCAATTGTGGGTCGGAAAAATATAAGATTTTTGGGCCTACGTGGAGATAACATTTTATATAAAACTCATAAATTATTAGAACAAATGTATTTAGGGTGTCTTCGAGACACGGAGTATTTAGTGTCTTCGAGACACGGAGTATTTAGGAGTGTCTGGAAGTTTCTAGCTTCTAGCGTTTGGCAAAACGTTCCGTTTTAAATAGAAAGTCACATTTGGCACTACATGCTTCTAATGTTTAGTTTAAACAAAACGCTCCAAATCCAAAAGTTACCACACGTATCGTTTAACAAAACGTAAACCAGTATCCGCTAGTTTTGCCGAACACGCTCTTAAAACCGCAAATGTTGTCCAAAAAAAATAGAACCGCAAGTATTAAATAAATAAAATCATTAATTTTATCACACCGTTGTCAGTTTATTTGGCACTTGTTTTTTATATGGCATGCTGATTTGTCTTAATTTGGTGACATTCATCAAAATAAAAATAAATAAATAAATAAATAAAATGTAATATTTTTATACAATTGGATATCATCATTAAAATAATGAAAATTCAACCAAAACAAATCATCAATGTAATTTTAAATGGTAAACAATATACACTATAACAATCAATACACTACATATACGATAGGGAAGATCATAGTCTAGACGATATGTATAATGCCTAACAAAAAGATACATTGATGATTTGTTTTGTTGAAATTTTCATTATTATTATAATGAGACCAAATTGCACAAAAGTTAATATATTTTGTATATCACAAAAGTAACTATATTTTTGTTTTTTTCGATTTTGACACTTGGAATATGATGTCATCAAATAGTGATACGTTAGTATGTCACGTCAACTGACAATCGAATGACTGGTAATTGGTCTAAGAGTGAAATAAATTGGAAAAATCAATGTTGTTTGAAACCGAAAAATAAATTATCAAAAAAAAAAAAACATAATGACTTTTATGTAATTTACCCATTGATTTAAAATATAATCTGATTAATTTAACTGATTCAACCAAGTTCGTGAATTAATTTTTTAAGAACGATAGGAGTTGTATAAAAAGAAAAAAAAAATGAACTCGTAAGAAGCTAATGGGTTAATACAAAATCACACATAAATCAATATATCCACATAATATTAAAATGTGAATAAGTATTTGCTTAAAGAATATATATATATATATATATATATATATATATATATATATATATATATATATATATATATATATACACACTAATTCACATGTGAATATTACTTGAATACTAAGGGTGAGGAGTTAGTACTAAATCTCGATCATGTATCGAATTTGAACATATAGGATGATTCTTGAAACTCTAAAATCACGAAATTCAGGATTCGGTACAGATGCTAATACCCGAAAATTGGTACCCTTCCCGGTACCGATAATGTTAGTTCATTTCGGTACTCAGTATCATTTTTCATCCATTTTGGTATGTGAGATCCTCGAGCCCGGTTCCGTCTTATTTTTATCCCTAGTGAATACATAGATTCACATAATCACATATGAAAGCATATGTATGGATAAACATATACTGATTCACATGTGAATATTATTTGTTTTGAAAATTATATGTTGGAAAAAATAAATATACATGTAAGATTGATATGTTGGGTTGACATAGATGGCTGACACTAACAAATAAACCATGACGATAATATATTTGTTGTTATATATTTTTAATGCATTCAACATTTTTTATCATGTGAATGGTTATATATACAATTACATCTCTTTATTTCTTAATGGAAAGTCGATCAAAATGTAACATTGGTTCATCTTCATCATCTAACTATTGAAAAGATTACAAAGATATTTGTAAATTAAAGACGTGGACCAGATAAATTTGATCACCTTGATATCATTTTAAAAAATGAGAAACAGTATGTTTTATGTCATGAATGCATGTGGAAATTAGAAGTTGCGTCTCTTTGAAGCATGCAGAAAGGTAGTTACCACATAACACAAGAAACTTGCCAACATGTACATGCAATTATTAATACTATTGACGACGGTGAGTCTAACCGTCGACCTCAAAATCTCAGCCCTTAAAACTCCACGTTCTTTCAATCTCGTCCGCATAAACTCGATTTTGGCGGTTTCTTGCAGTTCATCTTCCTGGTTCTTCTCTGCACGATTCCGTCTGTACCGACGTTGTAGACAATTGGCTGTTCTTTCATCAAGAAGCAGTTGATTTGGAAACTGCATTCGAGTGTAGCACGCATCTGACTTTTGCCGTTAACGGGAAATTGGTTTTAATCGATAACTGCACCACACGATTCCATGGTTGCTAGAAATCAGGTGACTTTCATTAACCGTCTTGCCTATATAAAGAGTTGAATTTCAAGGTAATTGTGTCAATGAGAGTTGTCGATTGACAACTGTTGGAATAAATAGTTGCTTTTGTTGCTCCAATGTCTTCCGATTCGTCTGAGATACCTTCAATTAAGGTAAAAATTCATTTGTTTATTCAATTTCCATTGTTTGTATGTCATTGCATTTTTTTGTTTCAATTGGTAAACTAATTTATTCGTTTGATGTCATGTTTTTTCCAATTCGTATAATCTTTCTTCACGTAATGTTAGCTTATTATCTCGATTCATTTGATATTTAGTCCATTGTATAATCAAGTTCGACGTAATCGAAAGTAATGTCCATAAATGTTTCAAGTTTCGATTTCATATGTATTAATAATTTTGTTACGTATACTTTTTATGTAGAACATTGAAGTTGTTGCTGGAAAAGTGAATCCACCGAAAGATGTATCGAAATCGACAGTTGATCCTAATGATTCCAATTCCTCTGACATACCTTCAGTTGAGGTAAACATTCAATTGTTTAATTGATTTCTGTTGTTTGTATTTCATTGGAATTGTTTGTTTAAATTGGTAAAAGTAATTGATTCCATACATTTATGTTTTGCAATTCGTTGGTTGTTTTCCCAGATAAGGTAAGCTTTTTTTACTCTGTAATCGTATCCTTTGATTGTTACTTAATTGTATTTTCAAGGTGGATGTCTATTTTAAGTGAAGGTTCAACTATGTTTCATATTTCGATTGCTTATGTAATAACAATTGTGTTGTGTTTAATTATTATGTAGAGCTTTGAATATGTTTGTGGAAAAATCGATCCACTATCAGATGTATCACAATCGACATTTGATCCTAATGATTCCAATTCGTCTGACATCTGCTCACCTAAGGTAAAAATTTACTTATTCAATCGATTTCTATGGTTTGTACTTTATTGATTGCAATTTGTCTATTATTTCTTCACACAAGGTAAACTTATTGTGTTTGTAATAGATTGATTTTATTTGTTATTCATTGTATATTCAATTTCGTTGAACTTAAATTTCATTTATTTCTCACATTTGGATTTCATATGTATTAGCAATTGTGTTATTTGTGATTGTTTTGTAGAAATTTGGAGAATTTGATTGAAAAGTCAATCCACATTCAGATGTATCAAAATCTTCATTTATTTCTCAAATTTGGATTTAATATGTATTAGCAATTGTGTTCTTTGTAATTGTTTTGTAGAAATTTGGAGATTTTGATGGAAAAGTCAATCCACATTCAGATGTATCAAAATCGAAATGTCACTCTGACTCTGATAGTGTTGAAATAATCGACTTTAGTGTTCACTTCAGTCCCTACAAATCCCAGTTGGAGAGGGTAATTTCGGAAGAGGTAAAGATTTTATAATTTATGTTTTTAGATATATATGCATGTAAGTTTGTTTTTTTATTTCAGTTATCTTTAATTGCCAAAGAAGAGGAGAAGCTGTCAAAAAAAGAAAAAAGGAAGTTGTCTTTGTTATGTTGGAAGTGGGAAGAAGTTGTAGATCTATGTGAAGATGAAGAATTGGGTGTAGATCTACCATTCATACCAGTGAAAAAGAAAGTGAAAGTTTCCATTCAATCAAGAAATTGAGTCATGAAACTTTTTGATGAATCAGATGTTGATGAGTGATTTAGATTAAGTTTGTGAACTTTTTTTTTTTTTTCAGAATTGTTCTTTTGGATTTGCTGCATTTAGTGGTTAGTTATTTTTTGGATTAATGTTACTAAGTTTTTCAGTTGTAATAAATTGTTTTTAATGTTATTTCACTTTTATTGCTTTCAATTAAAGTAACCGAATATTCTTATCAAATATCTTCATCATATTTTATTTCGTTTAGTACTGTTTACCCCTCATGCATCATTTATGGTTTTGGACCATTTTACCCTTTATATATATATATATATATATATATATATATATATATATATATATATATATATGTTTTTTGTTATTGTAACAGATTGCTAAACGGGTTTAATGATATGGGACCATTTTACCCCTCCTGCATTGTTAATGATTTTTAACCATTTTACCCCTGCTTGCTTTATCAGTGTTTTATGTTATATGTAGTTTTGAGTTTTTGTTGTAAAAACCACAAATAATAAAAAAAGTAATTATGTTATATTTTCTTAATTAAGCATTATACTTTAAATTATAGCATCATACTTTACATTTTAATTCTTATTTACAATTAAAAGGTATGTTTTTTTGTTATTGTAACGTATTCGTTATTCGTTGTAAGTATTTTGGACGATTTTACCCATCCCCCATCTTTTCTGAATTTGGACTGTTTTACCCCTCCCCCATTTGTATTGAAATGATTATGGGTTGTCAAATAAAATATGAATAAGAAAAATAGCATTATTTTTTTTAAAAAAATGATGTTATAATTGAAATGATTTCATTTATTTCTCAAATTTGGATTTAATATGTATTAGCAATTGTGTTCTTTGTAATTGTTTTGTAGAAATTTGGAGATTTTGATGGAAAAGTCAATCCACATTCAGATGTATCAAAATCGAAATGTCACTCTGACTCTGATAGTGTTGAAATAATCGACTTTAGTGTTCACTTCAGTCCCTACAAATCCCAGTTGGAGAGGGTAATTTCGGAAGAGGTAAAGATTTTATAATTTATGTTTTTAGATATATATGCATGTAAGTTTGTTTTTTTATTTCAGTTATCTTTAATTGCCAAAGAAGAGGAGAAGCTGTCAAAAAAAGAAAAAAGGAAGTTGTCTTTGTTATGTTGGAAGTGGGAAGAAGTTGTAGATCTATGTGAAGATGAAGAATTGGGTGTAGATCTACCATTCATACCAGTGAAAAAGAAAGTGAAAGTTTCCATTCAATCAAGAAATTGAGTCATGAAACTTTTTGATGAATCAGATGTTGATGAGTGATTTAGATTAAGTTTGTGAACTTTTTTTTTTTTTTCAGAATTGTTCTTTTGGATTTGCTGCATTTAGTGGTTAGTTATTTTTTTGGATTAATGTTACTAAGTTTTTCAGTTGTAGTAAATTGTTTTTAATGTTATTTCACTTTTATTGCTTTCAATTAAAGTAACCGAATATTCTTATCAAATATCTTCATCATATTTTATTTCGTTTAGTACTGTTTACCCCTCATGCATCATTTATGGTTTTGGACCATTTTACCCTTTATATATATATATATATATATATATATATATATATATATATATATATATATATGTTTTTTGTTATTGTAACAGATTGCTAAACGGGTTTAATGATATGGGACCATTTTACCCCTCCTGCATTGTTAATGATTTTTAACCATTTTACCCCTGCTTGCTTTATCAGTGTTTTATGTTATATGTAGTTTTGAGTTTTTGTTGTAAAAACCACAAATAATAAAAAAAGTAATTATGTTATATTTTCTTAATTAAGCATTATACTTTAAATTATAGCATCATACTTTACATTTTAATTCTTATTTACAATTAAAAGGTATGTTTTTTTGTTATTGTAACGTATTCGTTATTCGTTGTAAGTATTTTGGACGATTTTACCCATCCCCCATCTTTTCTGAATTTGGACTGTTTTACCCCTCCCCCATTTGTATTGAAATGATTATGGGTTGTCAAATAAAATATGAATAAGAAAAATAGCATTATTTTTTTAAAAAAATGATGTTATATTTGAAAGTATGTTGCTTAAATAGTTACATCTTTTAACTTTATTTACAATACATTTGTCGGAGATGTACAATTGTTTTATATATCTAGAAAAAACTTAAATCTGAAAAAATAAAAATAAAAATAAAACTGAAAACTGAGGTTTGTGTCTTCCACTTACAACTTTAATGCAACAAGTTCTTTGGCTAAAGCTATATTCCTCACCTACAATTTAAGGAAATCCATATCTGATTTATTAAGTTTCTATTGCATGCTTAAATGTGAGAGACACACCCTCCTTACATAATGGTTATATATGTAAGAAATAACAATGTTCTTTAATTGATTTGTTTATCATAGCATCCCACTTTCATTCTTTATATTAAATATTTTGACTTTGAAAATCTACCAATCATAGCAATATGATTCAAATAGAAATGAATTTTCATTAACAGATTTCTAATCGGTTTTAATGATATTGGACCATTTTACCCCTCCTGCATTGTTAATGATTATTAACCGTTTTACCGCTGCTTGCATTATGAGTGTTTTATGTTACAGGTAGTTTTGAGTTTTTGTTGTGAAAAACACAAATAATATAAAAAGTAATTATGTTATCTTTTCTTAATTAACCATTATACTGTAAATTATAGCATCATACTTTACATTCTAATTCTTATTTACAATAAAAAGGTATGTTTTTTTGTTATTGTAACATATTCGTTATTCGTTTTAATGATTTTGGACGATTTTACCCCTCCTGCATCTTTTCTGATTTCGTTTATTAAATGATTTTTACTACATATTTTCTTAAATTATCTTAATTTAATATGTTCATTATTCATTTTTTTTTCGTATTAGGATGACTTACGTAATGTCAAAGATGAGGGTTTCAGTGCTTCTATTTCGGAATTGAATCATACGGAATGTAAAGATGTAAGTTATAATGTTTTGTTTACCAATTTTATTTCTGTTACATATTGAAATTCTTCATTTGTTACTTTGATATTGTTTTTTTTGTGTGCATACTTAGGATGATGTTGGTTTATTTCCGATTCAAACAAATGTTGTTGAATCAGTGTCACCTAAATCAGCAACATCAACAATAAAGGTACTACTTATTGTATTTTTTACTACAAATTATATATATAAGTTATATTCGTTATATCTTATGTTTCTTTATGTATTTCACTTGCACAATTATTAGGTCGTTTGTGATAATCATCAGGTTGATGTTTCTGACAAGCTCATTTATAAAGTAAATAATATTGAGTGCAATAATTAATTCATACCATGTTTTCTTTCAATTCAGTTTAAATTGTTATATATTTAGTTTAATTACATTATTTGATATTCTTATTATTTATCTTTTATTTTTTCTTACTAGGATGCTTCTGGTAATATGAAAGATGATGCTATTGTGGCACCTATGTATGAGGTTAGACATGTGAAATATATTTAATAATGTAACTTGTAACTTATGTTTTGTCATATGGTTTTACTTATGTTATTTTCTTATAATTAGGTTGCTTCTAATAGTAATGAAAATGATGGTGTTACAAAAAGTGTATCTAATGAAAAGGATGTGGAAGATAATGACAGATGTGACAATGTATTATTATATTTTTTTTTATACTATTGTTGTATATTTTTTTTAGGTTTGAAGTTTTCTTATTCTTCTTATTGATATATTCAATTAGGTTGGTGACGATACTATTGAAGATGATATTTCTAAGACACCTATCTCCATATGTGGTTTACAAGATGGTGGAGAAAGTGAAGTAAGTTGCAACATATTGTGTATAGTTGCTATTTTCCTTACGATATGGAACAAAATTTCAACGATTATTGTCACCTCATTTGATACATTTGAAGTTTTCTTATTCTTCTCATTGATCTATTCAATTAGGTTGGTGATGATACTATTAAAGATGATATGTCTAAGACACCTATCTCCATATGTGGATTACAAGATGGTGGAGAAAGTGAAGTAAGTTACAATATATTGTGTACAAAATTTCAACTATTATTGACACCTCATTTGATACATTACTTTATTAGTTATTATTCTTATTTTCCTTTTCCATTTTTTTTACAATTAGGATGTTTGTGCTGTTATTGAAGTTGATTCTTCTGAAAAATCGTTTATCGGATCCTCAATAACACCAATGAAGCGTCGACTTCCACGATTGTGTGACGAGTCTTTTGAAGATGATATTGTTGGTTGAATTCATATTACTTTTTAAGTTTTTTGACATTGTTTTCTAAATTGTCTTTATCTTCCAATTTTCAAATTTCAGTTTTCATATTATCGTAGTCCTCAGTTTTTTTATAGGTTAATTGAAATTATTAGGTAGATTAAACTTTTTATATTAGGTTTTAGACATTTATTATTCGATAACTTTAAATGTATGTAATGACATGGTACATTCATGTTTTTTTTGTCCTTATAATGAAACACATTATTGTTGGGGTGCCATATTCCAAATGATCTTACTAGGTTTTTCCATAAGATATTTCTTGGTTTGTCGTTGTGGGTGATTTTATCTGAACTAATATATAAATGAATGAAAGTAATATGCTGTAAGCTTAAGATAAACCAAAATACTATTCATATATTTGTCAACCTGTCCACCGGACGGGTATGACACTAGTTATAAATAAGTTGTGGGCCCTGCCCCATGTTTACCAATCTTTCGCTTTCCGAGAAACCTAGAGACAGTTTGTCAAAAAGATTCTCGTCTCAAACCTCCAAAACGGCAAAACCATAACCATAACTGCCAACATGAGGAAAGAATTAAAGAGCAAGATTGAATTAGAATAAAAAAGCTGATAAAGATTTTACAAAAGGGGCAAAATATTTTTCTGTAATTCTTGATTGTACCTCAAATGTGCCTGAGGGCAAGGGCAAGGGCAAGGGCAAGGAAGGTGATGTCCAGCCTAGCCTTGAACATGAGATCTTACTTATGAAGGTGATTCTCAAATCTCAATCAGCATGTATCATGTTTGGACGAATTTGCCCCTGTTTGAAATGGCGGGTGGACCATAGTTGCCCTAGTTTTGGAATCCGGGACTAGGGCACATAAGACATTGTTTGAATAGTGTTGTAGTTTTGAAGCTCAGCTCAAATCCATGGTGTCCAACCTTCATACATATTGCAGAGATTATCCACATTTGTTGCTTGCCTAACCAAATAATCAACTTGCTCTGCAATACTTATATCTCTGCACCCATGAAATTTTAAATTCTTTTTATATTTATTTGTGATAAATAAATTTCAGGTAGAAGTACAACACATATATGTATGTACCTGTTATCAGTGATATCTCGACCTTCTATTTTCATTTCTACTCGCCTTAAAACTGACACAGCATATGCATTTTTACCTACTCAAACATCAAAAACCAAATAACCAGATGAGTTTCAAGTTTCAACAGATTACATGCAAAGTAATGGAATGAATTATTACATTCAATGATCATGTTTGGTTCGCCTGCAGGAATGGAATCAGCTTTCAAATGATTTTTCTCTAAATTTTATGTTTTATGTAAATGGTAAATACAGTTTGTGATTATAATACTCCATAGATTATTATAATTATAACTAATGAATTTTATTCATAAAATAAAATATTAAACATAATGAAAGCTTGTTATAACCAAAGGTCATAATAAAAATAACTTTTTTAGTTATTTAAAAAAATCAATTTAATTAGAATAAGAAATTTTAGATATGGAATGAATTTTTTCTAGTTTATATTTTACAGTGTACAACTTTTAATCTACTATATAGATTATTTTTAAATACAATTAATGAACTTTTATTTACAAAAATAAAAATTAAAAATATAATTGAAAGCTTGTTAAAGCCCAAATAAGCTGTAATAAAAGATAATATCTTTTAGTTACTTTTTTTTTAAAAGTAAAATAGTAATTTAATTAAAATAATGATTTTTAAATTTCCATTTCATTGAAGAAACACCTCACGACTAAGGAAAAAAAAAATTAACAAAATAAGAAAAAAAAAACAGTTTTAGTTTTCATTCAACTGGAATGAAGTCATAAACCATTCCTTTCCTTAGCCAGTTCCATTATACCAAACACTAACTAAAAGAATTAAACTTGACAAGATTTGAGGAATGGGAGCTTTTTTATTTTTTATTTTTAAATTACCTTTTACCCTGCTGGCTTGGCCTGTAACATCTACATTTTGCATAGGTGATTTACGGGCTTCCTCTTGATCCAATAAAGATTCTTGATGTTGGGCATCAATTTTTATATTTTCAACTCCTATATTCATTTCAGAGAGACTTGATACAGAAGTACCAGAACGCACTAATGCCACATCTTTCAAATCATCATCATGTACGTTAGCATCTTTTTCTCTAGATTCTGATTCCACGGAATCAGAACCAGATACATTGTTGTTTTGTTTGGAATCATGTCCATCTGGATGCGGTTCGGTTAGTTCTGAACCAGTGAAACTATTGGAAGTGGATATAGGACAAGAGTCTGCTGAGCTGGCATCATAAATAGTGTCTGGTGGAGATATCCATCCTTTATCTTGCAAACTGAATCCAGTGGTTTGAGGCAAGTCTTCATCACATTCTGTATCGGATCTTGAGAAAGTGTCGTTATCTTTGTTGTTGTTGTTGTTGTTGTTGTTGTATTCAGTGTCATCAGCTACAAGATCTGGCCTTGATGATAAGTTTAAGTCTTGTGACCTTATTTCTTGGCTTTCACCTAATCCTTCAAGAGCCTAGTACAGAAAGAGTCATATAAATCCCAAAACCAAATGTACAAGTATTTGGCATGAAAAAAGATGATTATGACATACCTTGTGAAGATTTCCAGCATGGATATTTGCAGTTCGTGCCAATCTTGTAAGCATGGAATGGAGTCCTTTGACTGAAAATGTAAGTGATGGAACCAGAGGTTTAATCACATGACATGCATCCTTAATTTTTGCATGGTAAGAATGGTAAATGGCCTGTCCATGAATAGGAGATATTTCCATTTTTGTCTCTCTTTCTTTGTTCATAGCTTCAGTCATTGCATCAACATCTTTAGTCAACACCGATTCCAGTGGAAGTACAATGCTATTTGCCTATCAAAAACACAAATCTCAGGAAAAGTCAAAGCAAATGGATATCTTGACGAGAGCAGAGTAAATTTCAGGAGTTAAAAAACCTTTGAAAGGTCTCCCATAAGAGAAGAGTGTAATGCAGAAGCCTCTTTTCCCAGAGTGTGAACATCGTGTAGACCTTCTGTTATTGCCAAAACCTACAACAAAGAAAATAAAGATTCAATTTATGAAATGATGTTTCCTATATACAAAGAGCATACTAAGATCTAATGTAACCCTGTTCTACTTATATCTTAACAATATGTAATGTATCATACCTCTTCAAGCATGGAACCACACTCAGAAGTGAGAGCAGTGTGACCCCTGGTAATGGATCCAAAAGCAGACAATGCAATGCTGGCTTCATACGCACAGTCTCTCATAGCAACAAAAGTCTCCTGTAAATCACCTGATGCAAACAATAACCAAAATCATCATGACATTTGTAAGTAAAAGGGTCTGTTTGGTTGGATGGAATGGATTGAGACATTACATTCCATAATGATGTCTCTAGGAAAGGATTGGATTTCATATGCAATAAGAACATACCAGATGAAGACTTTGCTTTAGCAGAAGCAACACGCAGTTCATTGCTTGCCACAAGCAAACCATTTGAAGCAGCTTCCATATCACTCTGTGCTAACTCCCACTCATGCTCTGTACCTGATCAACTCACAAGTCACAACCACCAAGACTTTATCAGACTTACAAATTATCAACCATAGTACTCAATAAATTAAAGCTTACGTGTGAAGGAATGATAAGTGGCATCCAAATTCGTTAACGCATTAAAGTAAGCTTGCTGCCATGCCCTCCCACTGCCATCTGCCCCTAGTACCCCATCTCTAGATGCTTCAAAATCCAATATTGACATACAGATTTTGATAATGTCTGATGCCTTTTCTCGAGCACCCCATAACAGTTGTCGTCTCTTTGCTAAATGATCATGAAACTCAGGTGGAATCCCAGAGGAGGTCCTTCCAGAATTTGAGTTTGAGTTTGACCCGGTCAAACCTGAATTAGGACCACCACAAGCCCACCCCATGGCTCTCTCAAGCTGCCCTTCTGCTGTAATTGAAGTCTGTTCACAAGCTTGTAGGCAGTCTAGTGATCGAACTACTTTACCTACTGAAGACCGTATAGTTTCCAATAATCTAGGTCTGCTTAGGTTTAGAATAACTGGAAGTGTGTTGTCCTCACTTGAAAGAAACTTGTGACATATGAGTCTGCAGTTATGTAAGGGACTCAAGGTGACATCATGCATCCATTCCAGCTGGACAATATCTAGACATGTTTTATATAAACCCTCTTTAAGTTCTTTCACTTGTCTTTTCATGAGTGATGCAGCTGACATTCCTGCTCTTACTGTTTCGTGTGCATTGCAGTATTCTTCAATCATTTGTTTCACTCTTTCAACACCACCCGTATCTCGTATCTCTTCAAATTCGTTTTGAGTCATAGTTGGTTGCTTTAAAAGTTCGATTTCTGAATTCAGCATGGTCAACAAAAGAGGGGCGATTTTGTCCTTTAGATATTGACCGATATGTTCTTGGAGTTGGATTGATAACTTTTTCTTCACAGCATTTAGAATCTGGTCAAATCCCAAATTTTGATCCCGGGATGAAGCTGTTACACGTATGCAAGAATCAAGAAACGAATCCATAACAGCCACTTTCCACATAAAAAACAAATGGGTTTCCGGTATACCCGAGAATTTCCAAATAAACCCTGGTATTGCACTACCATAAGTAATCATATCAGTAACTTGGGTGATCATTCCATTTGAAGAATCTGATGAATATGATGATAATGTCTTATCAACTGATTCCAATTCAAAGAACGGCTGCACTAATGCTAAAAGGAGAGCTTTGCTTCTTGAATATTGTGGTTCCTTTTCTTGTTCTTGACCAATTAAAGACTGAAAATGATTTTCAGCAGAGATTAAACCGTTTCGAATACTTGCTTCCCTTTTCATTAAAGAAGAAGTTCGAATGTCTTTCTGATTCCATGTTTGATGTAGTTCATCAAGCTGTGCTCTACAAGCTTCTTCTTGAGATGCCAACTCTTCAGCTTCCTCCCATGAAAGATGATCTCTACCTTTAAC